TTCCGAGCCCCCCCAGCTGTTAATCCGCCCTCCCCCCCCCCCAGTTTTGTTAAATAAAGAGAGTTTCTAGTTTTGAACACACGTGTCCTTTATTTTTTACATCAGGAATGGGGCTAGGGAGGGTTAAGTGGAAGGAGGAGAGGGAGGAATGGGGCACGAGCCCCCGATGGGGAGGACTGGGGTGGCTCCTTGGGCTCCTCGGGGTGGGAGCTCTCCTGCAGGGCCTCGATTGACTCCCCCGGATGGCAGCCTGTGGCAAGTGCAGCTGGGCTGATGGCTGAGTGCTGTGATGTGCTGAGTGTGGGCACTCGGGGCACTCCAAGCCAGGACTGCTTTGCTGTCCCTCATTGAGTTAGACAAGCAAGCGGGGAACCCCTGAGAACTGTCTGTCCGGGATGGGGGTCGGGTCCCTTTAAGCACAGCCCTCGGCTAGCCTGAGACAGCAGCTCCACGCTCTAAGTCCTAACCTGATGCCCTGCTGGCACTGGTTCCGGCCAACCTTATCTTCGGTTCAGGGTCCGCTCAATGTGGACATGCTATTTCGAATTATCAAAACGCTAATTCGAATTAGTTTTTAGGTCTAGATGCACTAATTCGAATTAGCTTATTTCGAATTAACTAATTTGAATTAAGTTAGTTCGAATTAGTGCTGTAGTGTAGACATACCCTTTCATTTTTAAGTTTCAATGTATGGACAGGGTTTAGATTTGCCAACTTGAGTAGAAATGAAAATTGTAATTACCTTGCTGTAATATCCGTAAAATTATTGTTTGTAAAGTTGAATTCACTCTCTCTGGCATCCAAAAGTTGGCTAACTGTTACCACTGCAGCCACTGCAGCATCAGTTGCCTGACAAATAGAAAAGCAGGAACTAATTAGTAAGAGGGGTACACAAACTCACTTTTTTCAATATGCTTCATTGTGACAGAATCTTTTGTTAACACTGGCCTTATATAAAAGGAAACAGAATAAGTAACCCTTATCCAGGGACACTTGAGACCTGAATTCAGATCCACTAAGTTAAAACTAAACAGACTGTCATATTTGTTCATTTTTTAAAATTGTTTCCTTTGGTATATATGGTTGTGACTATTTTCTTCCACTATTTGATCTGAGGAAGTGGGTCTGGCCCACGAAAGCTCATCATCTAATAAACCATCTTGTTAGTCTTTAAAGTGCTACATAGTCCTGTATTTTGCTTCAGCTACACCAGACTAACACGGCTACATTTCTATTACTAGACTGATTTTCTGTGAGTCTAAGGAAAGTGCCCCAAAATCTGACTGTCTTCTTAAGCCACGTAACAAAATGCTTTTTTGAATCTCACCCCAGACTGATTTTTCAGAATCTGCTCCACAATATCAGCAGCTGTAGAGATCTTCTCGGTAGTCAGCGTCTCTGGCATGGAAGTAAGGATCTGGGTATCACTGGCAATGGCAGAAATGTTCACCTTTGAGGTATCTGTGTTGCGTAACTATTAGAAAAATGATACATCACACAAAGAAAACATGAAGGAAAAGAATGGCCATTTTAATACCCATTTTCTAATGAAATAAAGGAATAGCAGGTCCACAGCCAAATTATTTGCTGCTGTAAACTGACACAGGTCCTATTAACTCAATAGATCGATGCCAGCTTATATCAGGCTGCAGGAAATTTGGCCCACTGTTCACAGCCACTTCTTCCTCACATAGAAATGCAATAAGACTTTGTCCAAAGGTCCGTCTACACTGTGGCACTATTTTGGGATACTTCTGGTATCCCGAAATAGCTATTCTTCATCTGTGAAGAAAGCCCATTATTTCAAAATATAATGAGCTCACTATTCCAATTTCCTTGTAAACCTCATTCATTCCACAAGGAGAAAGGGAAGTTTCAGAATAGCAGTTTATTTCAAAATTTGGTGCTGGGTAGATAGCACCAAATACAAAATAAGCTATTTCGAAATTGACTTGAAATAAGCTACTCACACCATAAATGACTGAGGGTATGTTTACACTGCAATAAAAAAAAAAGCTGGGCCAGATCAACTTAGCTGGTCTCCTGGAGACTTGATCTATGAAGCTATAAAATTATAGGCTAAATGTTTGGGCTTGGGTTGGATCCCAGGCTCTGAGAATCTGTGTGTCTTTTATCACTGTAGATGTACTTTGATCTTCTGAATCTATGGACTTCTGTAATCCCTCCCACTCACAACGTGTGCTACATAAACAGAATTAGAATTGAAATGACTTTAGGAAGCCACCAGAAGAGCAAAGGAATCACCACAGTAGAGTAGCCTGGCCCTTCTCTAAATAATTCTCCTATGAAAACCTTTAAATGATAATACTTGAGTGAATCTCTGAGCTACAGAGGTGGGTTTTCAGATGGCAGAGTGGTTGTGTGCACTGATAACTACGGGAGATGGATTATATGCATATTACATACAAACCCTAGGTTAAAAGAACATTAACAACATTGGGGATTCACAAATTTTTTTAGGGGGGGTCTATAGGTCCCATGGCTAAAACCTAGAGCCCAAGCCCCAGCACCTCCTGCAAGATTTAAGCTGGAAGCGACGGAGCTGAAGTCCTGAAACTGGGGGCAGCAGGCTGAATTCTGGAGCCCCAAGCCCCAGTGTTCCCTACAGGGCAAAAGCCCTGAGCTCAGGGGCAGAGTTGGGGAGACTTGGAGGTATTACCCCTCCCCCAAAACTACGCTGCAAGAACAAAGCAGTTCCCAAAGCAGCTCTACACAGCTGCTTCCACCTGCTTTTTGCCACATCTCCGGGCCAGGTCAGATGTGAAAGTCATTCATGTTTCTGTATCCCAATTGGAATGAAATAATTTTCACAATCAGATTTCCTGTTTAAATAGTCATGTTTGTAAGATCAATAATTATTTTACATTAATATTTTCTAATATACTGGTATACTTACAATCATTTCCATGAATGTTCCTATCAGTAAATTTTGCAAATATTCACAGAAAATAAACATAAGCGCATGAACAGTCAAAGTAAAACATTAAATTTTAACTGACCAAAAATTCATGGCATTTAAAAAAAAAAAAGTAAAAAAATTTGATCCTGAGTGAAATTTTCAAAGGTGCTTATTAGAGTTATTCCTGTTGCCTTTCAGTGGAATTCAGGTACTTAAAATCCTTACATATGTTTGAAAATCTCACCTATGAACATACTTAACTATAAATGATAATAAGCATCGAATTGTCATATCTGAGTCAACATTTCTGTTGATCCAAATCATAACAATAATCATACTAACTATTTTACAATTTGTCCAGTAATCTCACTAATACTTTTAAAAAGCAAGGGATAGAAAGGGTGAAGGTTAGGGGAAGAAGGTGGTGTACATTTTGATTTGGAAGTACCAAACTTCATCCAAGTAAATTATAAGGTTAAAAACAACTAGAAGAACAAAAACCTAATGGGAGACAGGACAACTGACTTTCTTTACATGTTGGAATGAGTTCTAGAACCTTGCAACTTCACAGAGGTTGTTGGCTCATGGGTTTTAAAATAATTAGCACAAACCTATAATCTGGAATGCCCATTTCAGAGAGACAATGTGTAAACTTACTTTTCCTCTCTTCTCTCTTATTTTAGAATGGAGTTTTCAAAAATGTTCATCATTGGTCTCTGCTCCCACTAAAGTCAAATGGGAAGACATGGGCCAAAAGTGAGTGCTTTTGAAAATCCCACCTATATTTATTTTCTGTATGTGTGGCTGTATTCTAATATTGAATCATATCAGAGGGACTGAAATGGGTTGAAAACATCATAATATTTTATATCAGTTTTATTGATGAAGATAAATCTGTTTATCCTATTTTCTAATGAACCTATCTTTATAAATTAATTAATTATACAATTTTCTGATATCAAAGTTTATTGCTTAAAAAAAAAGGATGTCCCTAGGATTGGGCTAGGGAAGAGCAAAGCAGCCAGAATGGACTGATGATTTTAGCCCACTGTTTCTTGTTTCAACCAACTCTGCATATGGAATCCATATGCCAAACTCAGACCATGAAGGTTATTATAGCCACAGCTTCACTGTAGTTGTAGTAACCTATTACATGGCATATTAAAAGACAGGGTTACCTCGTCCATTAGCGTTGTCAGGTTCCTACTACAATTCATAATTTTCACATCAGCTAGCGTAGGTTTTCCACTTATTTTGGAGCATTTCCTGCTTGCTTTTGGAGTAGCAGCTTTAATTTTAAAAAAGAAAAAAGAAATCCGTTCAGTCATATCATGTTAGCACTCTTTGCAAGTCCTCATCAACCCTTAGGATTTTAAAAATCGTCTTTCTTCTTTCTAGTAACTCTTGCTTATATAAACAAGAAATGCTTATTCAAACAAGAAATGCTATTGATGTCATTGGTTTATTCATGTAAATAAGGGAAGGATTAGTCTCATAAGTAAGGGTTGGAGAATCATACCCCTTAAGCAGACAATTTTTTCCCCACAACGAGTTTGAAAATTTGTCACAAGTTACCGGCAGAAATATAGAGGACTAAGTAACAATATAAATGTCACTGAACAAAAACAAATCGTATTCAGTGTTTCTCAACCTTTTTTTGCTAATGGCCCCCTTCTGAGCCTCGTTTACCTCTGTGGACCCCCCCTCATAGCCACTGTTAGTTGGAAAAAAAGGTACATAATTTACCTAATGTTCCATTTTTTCCATGTGGCCCCCTAGAGGTAGGGCGTGGCCCCTGGGGAGCCTTATGGCCCACGGTTGAGAACCACTGCAAGATCATCAGACATTGTAAGTAGTTTAAACTCACTGTGTTACATACTATTCAACTGTCCCCATTAAAAACCACTTTCCTACTTCTGTTTTTACTTATAAAATACCCACAATCAAATCAGAATAAATGAATGGTATTTTAATAACTTTTTCTTGAAATCTTTTTCTGTGTCATATGGTGCAATTAAATAAATCTCTGTGCAGTATTTTCTGGCTTATTTACCAACAAAACGGTTCAGTAGCTTATGTGATATGAGTTAGTGATATCAGTCCAGTTGGAAGTGACCAGGTATCCCACTCACAAAGCTCACCATTCAGGACTAGCATTTTTGCTGGCCACCTTGGAGGCCAGGGACACAAAGAGTAAATTATATTTATTTACATTGATACATGGAGAGCAAATTACCCCTTCACCTTCATAGGGAACAGCATCAACACATAGTGGGAGAGGTCCAGGTTGGATATTAGGAAAAACTATTTCACTAGGAGGGTAGTGAAGCACTGGAATGGGTTACCTCAGGAAATAGTGGAGTCTCCATCCCTAGAGGTGTTTAAGTCTCAGCTTGACAAGGCCCTGGCTGGGTTGATTTAATTGGGATTGGTCCTGCCTAGAGCAGGGGGCTGTACTTGATGACCTTCTAAGGTCTCTTCCAGCTCTATGGTTCTATGATTCTATGATAGTGGCAGTGCAGTGTGGGAAGGACTGTATCGGATCAGAGTTTAAATAGAGGACTTCCATCTCCTGCTTTAATAAGCTGACATCTTTCACCAGCCTGAATTTCACTTTTGGGTGGCCAGAAGGGTAAGATGGGTAGAGGAGGAGAGAAAGGAAACACTTACCATTTCCAGCATCTTCACATTTTTCTTCAGAATACCCATATGAGTCTACTATAATTCTTTTAAAAGTAAAAATTTCTGAAGAGTTTTGAGAAGAGTTGAATAAGTAAGTACTATTGCCACAGAAATTCACTGTGTAAGGAAAAATACATTCAGGTTAAATACTATTATCATATAGAGCAATTTTCAAGACCATGAAATATAAAACCAGACAGAAGGTGATAGTAACTTTACAAATGTGACTTAAAGTAGTGGCTTTCCATTTGTGGTCTGTGAACTCCTGAGGGACCGCAGACCATCTAAGATTTTCAGAGGGGTCCCTTCAAAACATTGTAGTGGTCTGCAAATGAATAAATGTTCAAAACCACTGCCTTAATAGGACAAATACAGAGTCAGAGTAGGTGAGGTAATATCTTTTTTTGACACCAAGACAGGAGACAATAAGATGTCTACAAATGTATGAGCAGCAAGGGCTGGTGAATCTGATGATATTTAGACCTAAGTATAGCTCAAAAGCTCCCAAATCTTTAACCTGAACATTCCTTCAATGCTGAGGTTCATTCCCTGGGTGCAAGTGACAGGGAAGAGAGATGTAAGGTAGAGATTGGCCTCCTTAATCCCACAAGTCAGAGATAGGCCCCCATGTCGGCCGGTTAATTTTGCCATGGAACTGACTCTCTCCTGTAGGAAGCAATATC